TTGTTCACAGTTAAATTTTTCCGTTAGCAATGGATGATTTCAAAACTACTTTTTAGTTTTAGCACTTATTCAGACACTTTTTAATTACCGTTTTACAACACTTCGTCAGCTTTTTATCTATTGAACACTCTGATACAACTCAATACTAAAATTTTGTAGATATTTCACCATTTATCAATTTTTTTCTTCCACAATTACAGAAACACGTCTTCTCTCAACAAGCGCCCGGGTGAAACCCGGGCGCTTGTTGAGAGAAGACGTGACTTTTTGGAGACTTTTTGGAGACTTTTTGGAGAGATGTTCACATCACGAACACAAAGAGAATGTGTATGGCTTGTCTCGCCTCCTACCCTCCTCTTCTCCTTTTTTTAACTCCACAGATTATTACAACGCATATTACGTCGCAATGTTGCCACTAGGTGTGACCGGCGCTCCGATCGTAGCAGATCATTGTGCCTCGGTATAAATTTTGTGAGTTGCGGTTTATTACTGAACACACCCCCCACCGAAACCATCTTGATGGTTTCTCCTAACTATATGAAAAAGATATTAGAGAAAATATTATAACTTAAGCTACGGAACATGCAAAATAACGCTGAGACACAGAATGTCCTCAACGAGAAAAAAAAATATTAATACACGTAAAAACTAATTTGAATAAGGTAGAGGACTCAGTTTATTAACTGGTCTCTGTAGAGTACTAAAGGGACTACTCCAGAGTGTACCGTGTACAATCTAATTGCTAGTGTATTCTACCGTGTAGAAGAAGCTACCAGGAGCTGTCAACGTTTGCTGATCTTGGGAGGCTGGCTAGTAAGACCGTGAGTAGTTTGTTGCTGTTTTTGGTGTGATTTTGTGACTGCGGTAACTGAACGTTTCAGGGGATTTAGATTCTCAATACAGTCCACTATATCTAGTAAAATAATCCCAATCCGCCACATTTCTGGCCTTCGAGCCGCATATATTCGAATTAGTGATCTTCGAATAATAATTTTCTACCCTTAATTCGCGTCCCGTGGACGTCATATATTTGAGTAAAACTACGCATTTAATTAATTTAATATCCCTTATTTAATTTGCCTCTTTTTTACCTGGATGTCCATTGCTCGCGGTGCGTTTATAAAGTATTAATTTTGTAATTTGTTCATAATGTCGGATAAATTACAAATAAAAAGGCAAACACTTATTTTTAAAAAGGAATACCTATTTGCTAAATTACAAAAGGTTTTCGATATCGCGAGATCCCAAATAAATGATCCCACACAAATTCAGAATTTCTTAGCCGATTATTCCGAATTAGAAAGTGTCCGCTCAAAGTTTGAAGAAACAGTGTTAAATATTATTGAAATAGATATATCATTAAAACCGGAGACAAGATTGTCAACGCGAGAATTAGATACATTTGATGAACTTTATAAGGCATGTAGGTTGCAATATTTAAGATTAAAACCGGACGAGCAGGCATCCCTCAGTAGGAAAGATAGGAGTGATGTAAGGCCGTCATTACCTAAATTACGTTTATTTGAATTCGATGGTGATATTGAGAAGTGGACCACATTCTACGATACATTTGTATCACTTGTCCACAATCGAGATTTCGATGAAATAGATAAGTTTCACTATTTGCTTTCATGTGTTAAAGGTTCGGCATTAAACATTGTTAAAAAATTGCCCATAACAGCCGCTAATTATACTGTCGTATGGCAAAGTTTATGTAATAAATATCAAGATGATCGAATACTCGTGGGTAGGTACATCGACAAAATGATAAACTTTACGCCGTTAAATAAAGACACTACCGCAAATCTTACTTTATTTATCGAAACATTCGATCACTCTTTTAAAGCCATCGAGGCATTAAAAATTAAAAATTTACATGACTATTTATTTTGTCATTTAGCCTTACGTGGGTTGGATGCGCATACTAGGAGGCTTTTTGAAGAAAATCGGGATCAAAATTCACTTCCATCTTTTTCGGAATTAATTAGTTTTGTAAATAAACAAGTTAAAGTACTCGAACATTCATCGAATAGTACGATGTCGTTACAATCAAGAAATAAGTCTATATGTAACAATTACAAAGGCAACAATAATAACCACTACAAAAGTTATTCAAAGACAGTTTTAAATACTAATGTGTCAAATTATAATAAAAATAAAAAAATAATTTGCGCGCATTGCAATCAAAATCACATGATTTATAGGTGCGATCAATTTCGTAAATTGACCGTAGATAAAAGGATTGACCGTGTCAATACCTTAAAATTGTGTCATAATTGCCTAAAAGGAAATCATGATACCTCAACTTGTAAAAGTGAGATGTCTTGTGGTGTATGTGCGTCACTACATCATTATCTATTGCATAGGGAGCCAGTGAGCGACACGCTCGTGCCAACATCCACCCGTCCATTGTGCTCTGACTCGCAAGTGCAACAAGCACTCGTCTCGTCTCAGGCTATGAGTGACTCAGAGCGTTATACGATAGATACGCTTCATTCCAATAACGCTCACTCGGGTTACGGTGTTGTATTGGGAACGGCGCGCGTGTTAGTAATTGATAGTAGCGGCCAGCTTCAATACTGCCGTGCAGTTATTGACTCTGGAGCTCAGAGCTCATTTATTACAACTGAGTGTGCTCAACGTTTGGGCTTACCTCGAAAGAAGTGTTCGTTTAATATTTATGGTCTCGGTGGAGAGGCTGTAAAAAATCACGGCATGATTACATGCACATTAAGGTCCCTACACACTGACCTACCTAGTTTTACACTGAACATGGTCGTAGTGACTAAGGTATCTGCTGATATGCCTAACGTTCGATTCCACTCGGACGTTATTAATAAATATAAGAATTTTAATTTAGCTGATCCATTATTTTATAAGCGTTCGCGTATCGATATACTATTGGGCAATGATATAGTTTCGGAACTTATTAAGGATAAACCTTATATTATTTCATCGGATATACCAAGCGTGATCGATACCGCTTTCGGGTTTGTTGTAAGTGGTAAACTTTATAGCAATGATAAGGACAATTTAAAAAATTATAATTTATCAGTCTCATTTGATGAACAAGAGTCTTTAGATCAAACGTTGCGTAAGTTTTGGGAAATCGAAGAATTGCCAAGCAAACCCTCGATTAATCCTTTGGAACAATTAGCGGAAGACATTTTCGTGGCTCGTTATAGTCGTACTGAGGATGGTACCTATTCAGTGCCGTTACCATTCATACCAGACCCGCCTCCGTTGGGCGCGTCACGAGCGGCAGCCGAGCGGCGACTCTTGTTCACCGAGCGCAAGTTGAATCGTTCACCTGTATTACGACAAGCCTATTCAGAGTTCATGTGCGAATATGAAAATCTAGGGCACATGGAGCTTTATTCGGGGGACACCCCGAGCAAATATGTGATACCTCATCACAGTATACTTAAGCCCAGTAGTTCCACTACTCCTTTGCGTGTGGTATTCGATGCCTCGGCTAAAACGTCCACGAACGTTTCGCTTAATGATATTCTATTGACCGGGCCTAATCTGTATCGAGATATTGGGGCTATAATATTGAATTTTAGGTTGTTTGAATATTGTTTGATTTGTGACGTATGCAAAATGTATCGGGCAATTAAACTGAATCAGTCAGATAGATGTTATCAACATATTTTGTATCGTCATTCGCCTAACGATGCCATTGACGTTTATGAATTAAAAACTGTCACTTACGGCTTAAGTTGCTCACCGTTCTTAGCTATCCGCACCCTCTTACAGTTAGCCTATGACGAGGAAGAACGTTTCCCACTCGCTGCAAAGGTTGTGCGCGAGGGCGTGTACATGGATGACATTCTATATTCTTGTAGTTCATTGTCACAGATATCTCGGTTACAAGATGAACTTTTAGAGATGTTTAATTCCGGTGGCTTTATACTCAAAAGGTGGGCGAGTAATAGTGCAAAAGTTTTACAACGCGTTCCGTTAGAAAACCGAGAGTGTCCTGTTACATTTATGAAAGATGGTAACAAATATTCAGTCAAAGTGCTAGGTCTGAAATGGTTCCCTTTGACTGACTGTTTTTATTTCACAGTAGATAAGACTGATAAAGTAACAACTAAACGTTCTGTTTTAAAATTATTAGCTTCTATTTACGACCCCGTGGGTTTTATTTCACCGTGCATTTTCATCGCGAAAGAGATAATGCAAGATTTATGGAAGCTGGGCATAGGATGGGATGAGCAGCTGCCAACTGACGTAACTAAGCGCTGGCTTAATTACGTTGATGATCTCCCGCGACTAACGGCAATCAAGATAGATAGACATATGCTGCTACCAGAACAGACCGAATGTGAATTGGTCGCCTTTTGCGATGCAAGCTCTCGCGGTTATGCTAGTTGTGTGTATGTGATCAGTCGTAACGATAGAGGTCAAACTAAAGTACGCCTGGTGACAGCAAAATCTAAAGTAGCCCCCGTCAAACCATTAACTATCCCGAGGTTGGAATTAATGGCGTCAGTTTTGTTAAGCAAATTAATTAGATATGTCCGTGACATTTTAACTCGTGTAAAAATTACTCGTATTACTGCGTTAACCGATTCGACTATCGTGTTGACGTGGCTTCAGACAGAAGCTTACAAATTAAAGCCGTTTGTTAGTAACCGTGTTACTCAGGTATGTGAAGTGTTACCTCCACACTGTTGGCGTCACGTGAGTAGTGAGTGCAATATGGCAGACATATGCTCGCGCGGAGCGTCTCCGTCACAGCTCGTGGAGTGCAGTGAGCAGTGGTTGAAGGGCCCATCTTGGTTGTACGACGACTATTCGCAGTGGCCAGTGAGAACATTTATCAACCAACATGAAAGTAATACACCCGAAATGAAATCAAATCATACATTAGGCTCCTTCAATTTAATTTAAAGACACTACGAAATGTGTCTTGTAAAACACTGTAAGACAACTACTTTGCTCCTGTGCTTGAGACTGGTTAGATTGGTTCTAACCATACCATCCATTTTCAGGAAATGGGATGCTGGCAATGGTCCAGTGAAAGACGCGTACAACATCGGCGAGAACCCGCAGTTCTCTCTGCACTTGCAGGGAAGCGGCGCTGTCTGGTTGCTGCTGACGCGTCACATTACGCAGATCGATGATTTCAGGGACAACAAGGAATATATCACGTTGCTGGTTTACAAGAACAATGGGCGGAGGGTATACTATCCATGTGAGTATACATTTTTTTTATAGGAGGAGGGGCAAACGAGCATGTGGCTCACCTGATGGTAAGTGACTATCGCCGTCCATGAACAACTGCAACACCAGGAGAATTGCAGATGCGTTGCCGGCCTTTTAAAAAGGAGTATTCTTTTCTGAAAGGCCCCTAAGTCGTATCGGTCCGGAAAATCGCTGATGGTAATCGATTCCACAAGGAAGTTGTGCGAAAAAGAAAACTTCTTCTAAATCGCACAGTGGTGGACCGCCAATCATCCAGATGATATGAATGGTATCGCGAGTTTTGTCGCGATGTGCGATGGTGAAATTAGCGGCTGGAATTAGTTCGAACAATTCCTCAGAGCACCCCCCGTGATAGATGCGATAAAATACGTAAAGAGATGCACCATCTCTACGCAGTCTTAGCGGCACCTGACCGCTAAGACCTACTTAGCGGTCAGCTACCACAGAGTCTAGATTACCTGAAGATGCCTCGTGTATAGGCGAAACACGTCCTATTGTCGTCAGCGGTGTGCCTTTCCTAGTGTAGTGGTATTGGGAGTAGTGGTGCTGGGATTAGTGGTGACGGTGATAGTGCACGCAATTGAGGGAGGGCGGGAGGTGCTCTTCAAACTAGGTAAGACACATCATTTTATTTTACCGAGCGGATGTACGCGAAGTAATTTTTTGCCAACTTTAAAATAGGTGGTTTTCCATTCACCGGCAAGCTTCGATTTTCCACTGCGCTGGTGCCAATCTACGCTCGATTTTTGGGCAGTAACTAACACAGACTTCATTTCTACAACACGTAAAAATGGTCTGCTCTCCAATCCTAAAAGTAAGATACGTAGAAGGAATAATAATTAATAATTAAATAAACCTTATTTTAAAATTTAAAAACGGACTCCAAAAAATATTTCAACTACTTCCGCATGAACGAGGAGACATTTTATCATTTCACAAGTTAATTTTGAGTCTCAATGTCAACGCGTCTCTTCTAGTTCGACCCACGCACACGCACACACGCACACGGCTGCAACACGTACACAATACACATGCAGTGTTGCCGGCCGGCAGCGAGCGGGAAGCTTGGTGCTCGGCGCCGGTAACTGCCATATATTTCATACATTTTATACATTTTCGCTTCCTCGGCAGCCGGGCCAGACATTGATAAATGGGTGGTACTTATCTAGACGGACTCCTAGAGAAAAGTATTCTTACCACCATGTAGGTTTTTATACGTGGTAGAGCCATGCTGCAGCTATATTAGTAGTATAGTTGTAGCACGAATGGGTCGCCTCGACCGGGCAAGGACCACGCTCTCACAGAATACCAGCGTAAAATATCAGCTTGACACTGCTGTGTTTCGTATGGTAAGTGTAGAGAACTGGAGACCCATTTTACTGGAAAAGAGACATGGTGACGACGCATCTGCATTTTGATTCTTTATTGACAATAAAGGTAGAGTCTATGAATGTAAAAATGTAGTCTATGAGTCACAGCATCCACTTACCATCAGGTGGGCTGTGTGCTCGTTTGTCACCCTATCCTATTCAAAAAATGTAGGAATTCTACCACCCTAGTAAGTAGTAGTAGTTAGTTTTTTAGAAATAAGAGGAGACATGTACACAGTTACCGAGACGTATACTACTTTACTATTCAGAGGTTATTGTCGTGGCTTAAATTGATAAACTTCTGTTCTTTTAAACAGACGATCCACCGCCATATATCGACGGTATACGAATAAACAGTCCGCACTACCTCTGCAAGATAATAACGGGCGAGAACAGTTGCGACAGATACACACTGGTCGTATCGCAGTATGAGAAGACGCGGACGATATACTACACGTTACGTGCGTACGCGACCTGTCCTATATCGATGGCCAAGTTGGAACCCTACCCTTATACTAAAACGGTACGTTTTTTTTTTACTTTCCTAAGTCAGCGCTCAGATCGATCAATCGATCGATCTGGTCGGTTAGTACTTAAGTACCCACCTGATGGCAAGTGGTGATGCAGCCGAACACTGTGAAGGATACTAACTTAATAAAATTCTATCCTTTCTTGCTTTGAAGAGACCCACATTGTAATCGGATGGAAAGGCAGATGCTGGCAACTTATTCCACTCTGTTGCTGTACGCATAACGAGCGATGAAGCAAACCGTTTGGTTCGAATGCGTGGTAAGTCGATAACCAAAGAGAGAGGACTGTCATAGTGTCTGTCCGATGGTGGAAGGGAGAGGGAGGAATCAAATTGTCATTGTATATATTTGACTTCACACACACACTCATTCATTCATTTACACTAATCGGTTCGTTCATTTATTCGTTCGTTCATTCCTGCATACACTAATCAATTCATTCAAACATTATTTCGTTCATTCATACACTAATCAAATCATTCATTCACCCATTCTTCATTTATTTATTCATTACAGCCTATCAGAAGTCCACAGCTGAACATAGGCCTTCCCCATATATTCGTCTGGGTTGCCAAATTTGGCAAGTGGTTTAGCAACCGGTTTTTTATTATTTTGAGTTGTTATCAGGAATATGTTGCTGCCCATATCCTGTTGCGTTGTTCTCCTTAGCCCCTTACGAGAACCACGGGATGATGTTGGTTAGTGGATATACTTACACCGCGTCTACACAGTGTGCTTTCAATTCTATGTAATAATACTCGGCTATCTGCCAAACGTTAAAGGCAAATACTCCAATTCTCCATACAGCGGGAAAGGTCAAGTCTAGCAGTAGAATTTATTTGTATTGTATTGTAGAGGACCGGTAAAGAAGAAGATGAAGTCGTTAGAATGCCTAGCTACTAACGTCGCAGATCTTAGGACCGAATCCTAGTCTGGAATAAAATCCATACATGAACTATTGGTTTTAGGATATTCATACGTAGTTAGTAAGACTGTCTGGCACTATGTTGCCTGCCTCAGATTTTTTTTTATTTATAGAAGCAAGAGTGATAAACCAGCATCTAGTCCACCTGATGATAAGCGGTGTCCTATCGGCACCTATATCTCTGTTAAGAATTAAAATGCGGCTGTGTTGCAGACAGAATCGCTACCATTAAAAATGATTGAAAGTGTCCATTTGTTGCAAGAGCCACTTAAAACCAGGTGGACTAAACTCGTTTTGTATAAAAACTTTTTCTCAATCCAAAAGAAGTTATCGCCGTTGAAACTGGTCAGAGGCATCATCATCGTGATTTAGTTTCGTTTCTTTTATAGATGCGGGGTGAATGGTCAGGGAGGACAGCAGGTGGGTGTGAAAATCACAGGGCGACATATCCAAATAATCCTAAGTTTACTGTAACGGTCCCAGAAGCGAGAGCACCTTGCAGTTTGGTTGTGGAGCTCAAAGGCCCCAAACAATATCAGATCGGAGTTGATGCCAAGGTGGACTCACTTGATGACCCAAACGTTACGGCGCCATTTTTAAAAGAATCTTCTGGTCCGTACAGGTGAGTCTTGATGTAATTTTTTTTTATCAGATACATATTTTATGGCATTTAGAAATATTTCTTTTAGTAAAATTATGACAAAAAAGCTTGTATATTAAGTAATACGTATTTCACTTTCAACTGCACATAAATATGTAAAACACAGAAATCTAATATGTATTTTTAAATCATGGAATAAACGCCTTTTGCTTTTTTTAACTGGCTTTACGGCTCTGGGTTCCCGCTCTTCAGCCTATCGCTTTTTGCCTAGACACACTCCACAGACTATTAAAAAAAACCATTTTAATCACACAAAATTTACATATGATTTAGTCAATCTTTCAGTAATTAATAATATCTTGAAATTTTTTGGCGAAAACTACGCATAGTGATTATATAGTCTTTAATTTTGATCATATATTTGACATTGACAGTATAAACCGTAAACAATGAATGTTTTATTGAATTTAATTTATGTAGTTATAACACCTATTATTTATATATTTTAGCTTTCTGCACTCCTAGTTATAAACTATCACTATACTAAATCTCAAACTTCTACGTGAGCCCAATATTTTTAAAAAGGAATGCAAAGTTTTTTCTTCACATATTCATATATATGTAGATGTAAATGGTAATCCATATCACCCACAGATCCGGCTTCGTATACCTTGAGTTACGTAATCTACCGGCGGGCCGGTACATACTAACTGTGTCCACTTTCTATCCGGGTCAGGAAGGACCGTTCATACTGGAACTGAAGTCTACGTGTGAATTGACGTGTGAAGTGCGTAACTAGCGGGCGTTGGGCAGAAGAGAACACGTTTGTAACTTAAAGAGTTTATTTATTAGAAATTAAAGTAGTTTGGCTCTTGAACTTTTCTGTCTTTTTTAAGTTTTAGTCCGTGTGAGGTGACATTGCGAACTAAGATATACAGTGTTTAAATATTTCTTTTATATTCATCCATTCCATTTATCCATTACAGCGTATAAAAGTCCACTGATGAACATAGGCTTTCCCCATAGGTTGCCTCATAGTGGGGATTTTGTCATAGTTGCCAGGTTTTTATTACTTTCAGTTTCCCTCTGTCGCCTTTTATGACCACGGGGCGATATGCGCTAGTAGATATTCTTACAACACCACTAAATGGTATTTTATGTTCACTATGTTGTTTTTTGTTGATTATCTAATTGAGTTATCACTAAAAAGAATTTATTCATTAAAGAGCAACAATTTGTTTTTGGCTAAATTTGTTTATAGTTAATTAATATGCCTGGTGAAATAAATATTTTTGTTTTATTTTTTTACAGTATTTTTTTTGTTTATATTGGTCCTTAATTATAATTAATATCACTTAGTCAGTTATTTGAATTATGATCTAAGAAATCAGGTGAATGGCTATAGACAAAATTTTGGCTCTATAGCTCTTTGAAAATTTTATGCAATCTGGGTGATGTATTTAATAATATTATAGATAAATCAAATGCCAAACTGTAAAAATATTGTTTAGTTGGAGCTCATGCTTATAAGCTTAATTGTATTGTAACGCAAGAATCTGATTTTCTGTATCTGTTAAGGTTTTGAGTTTCTTTTAAATTAGTTATAATGTATTTTTGTTTTGACAATAATCGTACAATGATCTGTGCCTTTTGTAAATGTTCAAACCGAGCGCTATTCTTAATTTTGAGATCCTTTTTATATTGTTAATTTTATTGAGATATTTTATAGAAAATTAAATTTTTAAGCCATATTGCAGATATTTATGATATTAATTTATTTTATTGGCTACGCTTAGTGTTATCTGTCAACTGTAAAATGGAAAATAAACTTTTATATGCCAAAGGAGTTGTTAACGTTAAAAAAAAAGAACTTGTTTCGATTCCCTTAAATAACTAAGGTTTTGTAATACTATATTCAGTAAGAATATTGGCTGTTGTGTAAAATATGTACTTTGTACAAGTTTTGTAAAAGAGACTCTTCTTTTATTTTCAAACGCCAAAGGAAAAGAAAATACATATTTTGTTTGCTTTTGAGTGATATATTCTGTTGTATATTAATTAATTGGGTTAAAAAGGACAAGAAGTTGTGTGAAGTGAATGAGGCGAGAGAGGTGTGTCAAAATCGTGTAAAATGGAAGTCCGCAGTCTCTGCCCACTACTGAGTGACAGGCATGAATGATATGATTAATGAATTCTTTACAGAAGAATCTTTCTTTTTTTTATTCTCTTTAAAGAAGATAAGAAGTATCGGATACAGCCAATATTTATTAAGCTCACTATAACATCAAATAAAATATAGTCAAATTATTTGGATAAGTAGTGAATGGGTTAAAATATTTTTTTCTTTAATTTACTAATTTAGTTCAATTTACAACTTATTTAATTTAATCAAGTTTTTTTTTAATAAACTGAAGTGACAGACGAATTTACAGTCTACCTGGTAGTAAGTGGATACTGTAGTCCGTAGACACCTTCAACCTACTTCAAACAAAGAAGTCTAGATGCGAACACATTACGAATTAGAGACCTTTTAAAAAATAATCTAGTCCTTTTTAAAAGACCGGCAAGTCACCTGCAACGATCCACGACTTTTTTAACCATCAGTGCAGCGCCACTTAAAAATGAGGTAATATTTGACAGATTTAATAGCGGGGAAGTGAATTTGTTCGGAAAATGTAAAGGTTAATGTTGCTTTCTGTAATATTAGTTATATTTTATATTAATTAAATAAAAAATAAATAAACTAAACCACAGATACTCATAAAAGTAGAAAAATTAAAAAACAAGTTTTGTGTAATAATACTCTAGAAACTGATAAACTTTTATTTAAAACTAACTTCTCTACTAAATGACATTTTGTAACAAGAAAGTTCACCTCAGTGTCACTTAGCAACATATGGTGAGCAGGAAATTATTAGCCTCCATTATCCAGGTATAGCAGATATTCATGGGCGACGGTGATCACTTACCATCAGATGAGCCGTATGCTCGTTTGCCTCCTCTTCCATAAAAAATTACTTTAAGCGTTATTGTTGCCGGTGGATTGCCTTAGTTTTGTGAATATCTGCATATAGGCGACAGTTTTCATTTTTCTGGTTTATTGAAGAGTAGTTTTGTTATTGCACAATTTTTTTCTTTAAAACTTTTTTAGATCACGATTTTTAATACCTTATATTTAGCTATACTTTTCTGCCAATCGATGCTCTTGTTCTAGTTGCTTGTTTTACACGCATTTGCACACTGTGATACAATTATAGTAAAATGTTTAGTTTTAAGGCGTTGATATATCGATCACAGTTTAACGTATGACGTTTGTAATGCAATATAAAAATGTATATGAAATGTTAATAAATATAATTTCTTTATTTTTTTATTTTATTGTGAGTTATTGTTACCACTTTTTTCTGTTATAAGCCAGTGCTTGACTACTGTCCCACCTGATTGTAAGTGTCACAAAGTCACTCTTGCCTTGAAGACACCCACACTGTAATAGGTTGGAAAGTCAGATGCTAGCAACTTATTCCACTCCTTTATTGTACACATTACTGACGATGAAGTAAACCTAGAATTACAAGTTGTCAGCTGCTTCCGTAATATTATATATATATATATATATATATGGGTTATACTGCAAAATATCTAATAGCAATCACTAAAAATCAGTAGGTTATATGGCAACACTGCCTGAGGTCTGGGTACAAAATCATTTTTTTTAACTTATTATAAGCCAGTGCTTGACCACAATCCCACCTGGTGGTAAGGGGCGATGCAGCCTTATATGGTAAATCGCACTGTCTTATCGTAACAAAAGCCTATTCACTCTTGCCTTGAAGATGCCTAGATTGTATTCGGACGGAAAGATATGCCAAATTATTCCACTCCTTCGCTTTACAAAAGACGAAGCAAACCGGTTGGTTCTAATGCGTGAAATAACGACAACAAAGGAATGAAGACCCACCGACCGCCTGGTTGTCCTATGGTGGAAAGGAGAGGGAGGAATTAAAGCGTGTAATTCCTGCGCACACTCACCGAAATGCGTGCTATAGAATACCAAGAGACTGGCTACTCTGCGCCTGTGCTCGAGGCTGACAAGATTGGTTTAAACCAAATCAAGGTCTCCAATGAGCCTCAGCACGTCTCTCCACTGAGTCCAATGCTGCCAGGTGGCATTTTGCAGCACCAGCCCATATGTGACAGCAGTACTCCATGCACGACCGGACTTGCGCTTTATATAAGGTAAGAAGCTGCCCCGGAGTGAACTACCGCCGCACTCTTGCCAGGACACCTAGTTTCCTTGCGGCTGCCTCGACTCTGGCCTCAACGAACCGCCCATAGTTTAGATCAAATGACTTAATATTAAATTTATTAAGCAGGCGGTTATTATTCAATCATTGAGCACAATCCAAACTGACTTGACACTGGCAGAATTCTATTAAGGGATGCCATAATTTAAAAAAAGAAGAAGAAGAGTACAATCCAACAACATTACACCAACCCCCGTCGCATAACCCTAAACAATGATTAGTTATATTCTTTAACCTCAAAGTAATTTCCCGAATGCTTGATATTGAGTGGTTACTTCGTAGCTCTGATTTAAAACCACCTGATTAAAAAAAAATCAGATTAGCATAGAAGCATTGATAATAATTAATAATTATTTGATAATAATGATTTCTTATATTTACACGAACACTACACATTGAATAAAACTATACGGATTTATCGAAACGTCGGAAATTATTAAAAATAATTAAACGCGATAAAATCCGTATAATAGTTTTATTCAAAGGTTGGCTTTAGTAATCTGCGGCACGATTTCAGTAATCATTTTAGCTTTAGTTGACAGGCAATGATGCTATTGATTACCATCTGGCTGCTTTTTATGCCGGAAATCTTCAGTTTTCGAGATACCGATAATTATAGTTTTGAGGTTATATCCATTTAAAAATGATACAAAAAAGAAATAATATGATTATTAGAAAGAGATTGCAATAGAGCATGGTCTGTATCTGTTTTAAAAAATAACACGCAACAACAATATCATTTTTAAAGAGATAGCAATAGTACGGTTTGTATGATTTGTTTATAGTGCTATCCTACTCTAATATACGATGTTATACCACGGTTGTGTTACATGAAGCCCAACATGACAAAAAAGAAATATAAAATAACAAAACCGTATCTGTCAACCCCGACTTCCACGTGGTCTTACCGCTCTTACCCCTCGAGTGTATATGAAAACCCAGAAGCGCGGAGGGAAAGCAGCCCTCGCCCGTTGTAACTTAGCGTAGGTGAGCTCTCCTTTCGCACTTTAGTCTTTTTTCCTTTACCCTCTTTCTTATCTGAATAGCGGTACTTACATACATAAAAAATATTGGCCATCTTTTTCACTAGATTTGCTATTTCGTATTCAACGTGGGAACTGAAGATAGTATGTCATCCAACACGTGGCCCTAAGTTAGATTTTTTTTTACATCTCTTTTGTAGATTTGAAAATGGTATATCAATAGTTATAGCAGATTTTCGTATCGAATAACCCTATTGATCAATAAGCTGGACAGCTTTTTTAAAACTATCAACTATCGGTAGACCCGGTAGCCTTTTCGGTAATTCTGACCCGTACATTCGGCATCTACAACAAAAAAAGCAGTATATACCTAACATGTAGGAAATTAAATGAAACTACTTTTACGGATTCTATCGAGTTTTATTAACTTATTTTTATTAATTCCCGACGTTTCAGGTGCTTTACAGCACCCATGGTCACGGGGGACTGAGGTGATTGACGTCCCGATGTCA